GCAACTGAGGCTAATGAGAGCTAAAAGTGGGGAGTCTTTTCAAATGCATTAATTATGACACTAATCTCTTTATAATATTCCCCCGCATGAGCCTTCATTACAAGCTAGTTCCAGTTCAATATCGAGAATACGATTATGGTCTATTTGCGCGATGAAATTGCGAGAAGCAAGTTCGGTTGGAAAAATTATCAGAATCGTGCAGACGAATTCACAGGTAAATTCGATGTTATAATCCGATCCTGATTGAAAGATATGAATGGAGTCTCAATGGGGATTAACTCCGCTTTGACGGTTGACAGTTAAGAGTAAAGCTTTTTGACGATTGACGGTTTAAGTTTGGGCAGTTAGACGGTTTACCCGGCGTTAAATTTCAGTGCTAACGACTACGTGGGGAAAATTTCATCAACAAATTAGACGAAAATGTTTACCGCGTAAGTGACCTTAAAATCAGAGTACGACTTTCCAAACCTAATGCATATCTATATTCGATTATCATATTACACAACCATCTCGTAGTAGCAGAAGTCTTCTCTTCAACTGGCCTTCAACAGACGGATTAGGAGTAGGGCTACAGCCAATTTCTCGAGTAGGGGTTAGTTTTGGGCAAGGATTAGGGTTAGTTTGTAAATGAGCTGTTTGTAGTATGAGCAAACTCTAGACTGCATTCAGTTTTGGCTATCCCTGACTGAATATGTAAGACAGTGTTAAATTTCGAAAATACTCTAGACAGCGCAGAATGTGACCATTTCACGTTGTTTTGTGGAGAATGGCAAACTGAAATGCATACAAAGCACAGCTGTTGTTCTGCTTTTTAAACCATTTGTTTGGTGACGTTCCCGTTGCTTTTGCCCTTGTAACTCCCTTATGGCTATTCCTAGTTGTATATGTGACTAAGAGAGACTGACGCTGAATTCAGCTGAGGCACAACGTTTCTTGTAAAGCCAGGGGCTCGTTTCTCGAAAGTCCCGAAAAGTTTTCGCATCCGAAAAGCCGTAGAAAAATATCAAAACCTTATGACTTCAGAGCTGTTTTATGCATATATTTTATATTCTTAATATGAGCAGAGGTTCTCTTCATAGAAGAAGTTTCAGGCGTATACACCTCTCTCTCTTTAAATACCGATTAACTAAAAATGGCTTTACGCCGGGCCTGAAAAGTTTCGGAGCTTTCGCGAAACAGGCCCCAGGTCTCAAATGACTTAAAGGCATCCGCAGCCGCAAGACATGTAGTGGACAGTTCTTCTTCCATGTGACAGGCAAGTGTCCTGGTATTTCGTTTCGTACGCCATGTTCGAATCAAATTATTATTCGGCGCCTACGTGTCATATCACCGCACATGCAAACATCCTTGCGCTTATGCTTGTACTGTACGCGTAAAAGCAACAAAAGATACTCACTTAAAACTAGTAGTAATCAGAGATTATGAGACTGCGTTCGACGCTCTCACTTTAATATATAATTATATCTCGTAAATAAATGATTTCACTAGCTGATTTTCAACCTTTGTCTATTGCTAAAATCAACATTTTTCAGCAG